ACTTTGGCCTTGTGTCTGTATCCACATTTGGGATCTTCTCAAGGATAACAGAGATAAATACAAATGAGTTAGGGGTTTTTCTCCTCTTGTGGAATAGTTGGTGACGTATGAAGCTGGGGATTAGTGACGGACTGGGCACCCCTTGGGAGCACTGGCAAAGACTTATTAGGGGCACTCCATTGGTGATCTAATAATTTGTGAGAAGTATATCAAATTGCACTGCATATTGTACTTATATATTATCAAACTATTTATTAGGAATCCATAACTTGGAAAGATTGTTTGTTTGTTTGAGGTTAAGCACAAAGCTACACAATGGGCTTCTGTGATCTGCGCGCCACGGGTATCAAAACCCGGTTTCTAGCGTTGTAAGTCCGCAGACATACAGCTGAGCCACTGGGGGATATTTGGAAAGAAGAAATGAAACCCTTGCCAGAATAATTCTGCGTTTATTTTAAATACAACCATTAGCTCTTAATATAAAATAATAATAAACACTTATGATATTAACATGTTCAGTGATATACGAAAATCATGTATAAAAGTATATCTCCTCACAGAGGTCTGGTGGGCATAAATATGAAAATATATATATATTTTATATATTTGTATGTTCCCGTTCTAAATGTGCATAACACATACATGTTAGTGTCCAAAGTTTGTATGTATTAACATAATTTGGAAATCTGAATATATTGTTACGTCTCTGTTCGTTAGTTAATTTTCCGTATAATTTCTTTCCGAAGAAACTTTAGCGTTACAAGTCCTTTCTTAAATAAAACTGGTTTATTCTTTCTAAATACAACTTTGCAATACACTTAATTTCCACAGTGACGCTATAACAAACGCTATAATTCACAACGAACGTCTCACGTGCTCGACTCAACAATATGTCTCTCCGCAGTTCAATTACACATTGTTGCCGTCAGTTCTTGGCGGCTTCTATACAAGTCTACCGCATATCTAGTAAAAGCTCGAGACTTCACGAACCTTCGAGAACATGACGTGTTACTAGCGTCACGTGACCCCTGCTGTCGTAACAATATTATACCAGCAGCCGTTTGAATTCACCAGATGATTTTGAAAGCAGATCAATGATTTGACTGTTTGGTATCTCAGCTAGAATGTTGGCTTCAGTCCTTATGATAATGAAAACTTAGAGAAGCTCAGCTGTCAACAGGCTTCTCTGTCTTGTTCTTATTATCTTTAGCTTCGAGAAATATCTCTCACGCTGAAATTAAGTGATGGAAAGAGGTAAACTTTATGTAAATTGTCATATGTTTTTGAATCTAACACGTAGTTTTCAAGCATCCGAAAATCACATGTTAGACACCATTTGCACCTCTGGAAGTTTTGCATGAAGTAACGTCTTCGTGTTCTACTCTGTGGTAGGTTTCCAATGCATTAGCGGTGTCACCTCTCTCAACCAACACCTCTTCCAAGGCAATGCAGTGGTCTTCTAAACTTTGATTTAGCTTCCGATACACACTTGCAAAATGTTCAAGTTTAGATCTTACTTTTATAAAATTTAGGTGTGGCATGAGCTGACCTATCTTATTCGGTAATCCAGCAGGCAGTCCTTTTTCTTTATGTCAGCAAAACGCTTTAGGTCAAAACAATGCACCTCAGCATACAGCTGACCATGTTCTACAAATTGTCTGGTCAAACTTTCTATTGCTTGAAAGTATCAATCCTGTATGTAGTAGTAAGTGATGTAGTTGTATTACCTTCTGCTAATCTTGTTTCATCATACTTATCTTTTCTTTTTGCTTTCTATTCCTTCGGGCAGGTAATTTGGGTAAATCATGTAAAATACAGGAAAGAAGCAACTGGCATGGCCCAATCGTTACCTTTAATTTGTGGATTCATGGTTTACGTCCCATTGTCACAAAAATGTGCTCTGTATATTGCATCATTGGAGTGCTATAAGAGTGATGGTCAAATCATACTATTTGGTCAGAAAAGAGATGGCGATGGGTATTTTTGCTGACTAGATGTCTTCCTTCTGTTTTATCATTTCAAAATTAGGTATGGCTATTTCTAGGTAACCCTTGTGCAGCTTGGCAAGAAAAATTGAAATACTCTAAAAGGATGAAATGGAGTGCTTTCTCAGTAGCATGATCAAACTATGAAAAGGTTGAAAAGATGAATTAGTACTTACTAAAAAACTTCAGAGATTTGTTGCATCTTTTCAACTTTGTTGGAACCAGTTTAGAGCCTCAAACGACACCTCATGGGGGTCGCTACCTACAGTTTGAGAACACCTAGACTAAAATAGAGGGAAGGCATCTTGGCAATGGCACAGACTGCAAACTCTTGGGCTAGTCTTAGTTGATAGAATAATCTATGGCCCAAAAGTGTGAAGCACATGTTTGCTTCAACGTCTCGTGAATTCTAGGATTCACAGTCTGGACACGGTAGCTACTCGACCACGCCAACTCCCATATGATGAAGATGAGTTAATATATGATTAATTATATCTGTAGTAACATCCTATGAAGTTGTAATATTGTAAACTTGGTATTCTGTGAAAGTTTAAATAATTTCTTTTCAATATAGATGTTAAAAATATACTAGTTTTAGAGATATGTATGCTTTGTTGTTATACATAAGTCTAACATAAAATTTTAAGTTTTTAAGCATATGACTCAAGAGAGGATTTTCTAAAATATGAAGATTGTGTTCATCTGCAAACTATTTTATTATGACATTTGTGAATTTTCATGAATTTTTTAGCCCTCGTACGTGCATAGTAAACTGGGCGTACACTGGTTTATCAATCTCACTCTCCAGTACAGTTAGCTCCATATACTGTACAAGTAATCTTGATATGGGAGTCATGAGTTCTCATTCTTTTGCAATATACTTGTTTCTTGCACTGATCAGCCTACTCAAATGCTTACTTCAATAATGTTTTTTTAAAAGTTTTTCTGTGCTTTTGAATTATGCTTATTGTCAATCCAGAATGATAAATAACTGCTTTGAGACAGTTGACAACACAGTTGTTCTTCTATGATTATTTAGATACTTTCTCAGTTGTTTATTCAAGTAAGGTTTAAGCTTTTGTCATGTGGGAACAACTGTACACATTGTTGTAAAATATGTGTTATTGTTAGTAAGTAATTGTAACACAATTTGTGAAGAAGAACTGGTATTAGTTGATGTTAAAAATATGGTCATGTCAGTATGCATAGGTGAGTGTAATTCTGAAGAATTACTAGTGTCTATGTGTTGAATTGCATCAGTATTTGACCTGTTTAGAGAGTTGTTGTGTCTGATGAAAAGCTAGCATCAAAGTATAGGAATTTGTAAGGTCATTATACGAGAGATTATCTTTATAGGAAAAAACGTTAGCATGAATATATATTCTCAATGGTACCAGCAAATGAAGAAATATTTCGGCCAGTATGTGAAAATATTTTGCAATATTTGAAAATAAGTCCACATTTTCTATCAGACATCTATGATAATCTGTAATAAGCTTTGGAAGAATGTTAGTTTTGGAGATGCTGATCTTACTTTTCATGATTTAGAGAATCAGTCTGTGTAATTCTTTTATAGATTATTTATGTAGAATATTCGTGATGAGCAAACTAAAGTTAAATGGGCAGAAACTGCCTATTTAAGAGTAACACTTATTGAACAATGCTCCTACAATGCCATTATTGCTGACATCAGTATTCAGCATGAATAGATAATCTTGGCTCAAGTATGAAAACACCAAAGCTTCTACTAGACCATACTTTAGTGATTTAAATGCATGATCATAGCCTCCAGTCCATCTAAAACGATGTATTTTGCTTCAGTTAGAATATACAACGGTGCAGCACTCTTGGAGAAATTGGACATGAATCATTAATAGTACAATTTAAAATCTAGAATACTGCAGATTCTGCACTAAGTCAGGCCAATCTCTGACCACTGTGATCTTCAATGAGTTAGTAGACACACTTTTTCTTCCAATGAAATGATCAAGAAATTTCATCTG